CCCTGAGGAACTCCCCAAAAGCAGCCAAAAACTACCAAAAAAACCAAAGACAAAAACAAAAAACAAAACATATAAAAAACAAAAGCTGCAAATGCAGATACATACACAGATACATTTTTCCCGAATCGCGGTTACGGTTACCGAACTGTGGTTTCCGAACCGTGGTTCGGATACCTACGTTCCTGGCGAGCATAGGTGTCAGTGCTCGTATTTTGATTGCTCTTTCCGGTATATCGGGCATTCGTTTCAACTTTACTCTCTGTCGACGGGGTCAAGTAATGTAGCAGACGTATAGTAGTGTAAATTTTAGGACTCCTCGCCCCATAAAGGCAGTTCTTAGTTTATCGTAAAAGCCCGACACTCAATTTTTCGGCAACAAATGTAACCAAATACCTTTCCCTCGAACGTTATCGCGACGCAAGCGATAAACTGTAAATGTATTTCACTACTGAGGTACAAATATATATATTTTTAACGTTTATTCGTACAGAAACATAAATACACAAAAGTTTGTCTTAGATACTATCGCTGTACAAAATTTGTATCGCAATGGTGCCCAGTCCTGGTTCAGACAGTAGATATACCAGCGCGTAATTTTTTGAAGGTGCAGTAGTGATCATCCTTCTTATTAAGTGCATGCCTGACCAGAAGCTGGTACGCCCGGCATGCTGAGATATTAAAACGTGCTTAAAAATAATAAAACAAAGTGAAACTGTCTCCTCCTTGCGAGAACGTAGAAATCTAAGTGATTACGAATATTAAGTCAATGTATTTTCGTACTTTGTTTGGTTGTACCTTTTATGGTCTAAGTGAACTAATAAATTATGGGTATAATATGTAGTTCTATGCGGTACTTCGTTTCTGTAGGGAGCAATATGAAGAAACCTCAACATTCAAATTTCAAATTCAAATTCTTTATTTGACATTCCTTGTCGAACAAAAAATGCCAGGGCAGGAACAAAAAGCTACAATACAGTAGCTTGGCGGGGTTCCTGCCCCTACCTTGGCATAAGAAACAACCAAACCGATAGTTTAAAATTGACAAGACATATACACAGAAATTCAAACCATGAAAAATATACATGTAATCAATTTACATCAAATATAAACTAATACTGACATCGTGCACATTTAAACATGTATTCCGACAGTTCATACTATACAGGAAAAATATAAAGCAAATACAACAAAATTTTTGCACAATTATTCACTGCGTGAAAAAGTGTTCTTTCAATGTTTTTTTACAAATGGTGTGTATATCAAGGTTCCTTTTCTCTAAAGAGTTTAGACAACTAGGTTTGCGGTGTTGCAGCCTGTCTAACCCATGATTAGTACGGGAAAAGGGTACCAGCCAGGAATCCTTTTTTATAATATTATACGATGCATCATGAGGCCTTTTAAGGTTACACAACTTGATAAAAGTGGAATTGTTACTTTTAATGCTAAGTTTATATTTCATTATTAGATTAAAATTGTATAAGTGCTGGAAGGGAAGCACATTGAGTGAAGCAAATAATTCTTTTGTGTGGGCATCGTATGGGGCATTTACTATATGACGAATAGCTTTTTTTTGTAATAAATGCAACTTAGTTTTGTTAGCTTGCGACGACACTCCCCAGACAAGGTTGCAGTAGTTTATATGGGATGCAAAAAGAGTGTTGTAGAGCATTAGCTTGACTTTAGTTGTTAGTATTTGTCTGAATCTACAAAGTATACCGCAAGCCTTTGCCAAGGTCCCAGCAACACGGTCCACGTGTGCATTCCAGCTTAAATGTTGATTAAAAGTTATTCCCAGTGTTTTGGCTTTATTTGTAACTTTTATCATTTCTGATCCAAGCTGTATATTAATATCGCGAGTTATTAATTTTTGCACAGGCGCAAATAGTACGGCTTTTGTTTTTGAAACATTAATTTCTAAGACGTTTACCCTTGTCCACTCAAGCAGTTTATTCAGAGTAACATTTGCCAAACTAACGAGATCATTAGTGTTATTTGACTGGAAAAAAAGACTGGTATCATCTGCATAAATTAAGCAATTTGTGCACTCAATGGAATTTATTATATCGTTGATGTAAATATTAAACAACACTGGTCCCAATACACTTCCTTGTGGGACTCCCGAATGGACACTTAGAAGAGGAGAGCGTTTTTCGTTAATTACAACACATTGTTTTCTATGGGTTCAGTATGATTTTAGGAGGTCGCCAGGGATTCCTCGGAAACCGTAATGATCTAGTTTAGTAGATAGTATTACGTGATTAACTCTATCAAATGCTTTTGAGAAATCAATAAAAATACCTAATGCCAATTTATTGTTCTCAAATCCGTTTAGTATGAATTCTTTTTGTGTCAGTAAAGCTAATTCAGTCGACATGCCTCGACGGAAACCGAATTGCCGCTCCGTAAGTATTGAATGCTTGTCGTAGAAGGAAGAGACTCTTTTGCATATAATCTTTTCTAAACCCTTCGAAATAACAGGCAGTACTGAAACCGGACAATTCGAAAAGTCATTTTTATCGCCAGATTTAAACAAGACACTCACTCTAGCGCGCTGCATGCTTTCCGGAAAAGTCCCCGTGAGTAAACAAGTGTTGAAAATATAACAAAGCACAGGCGCTAAGATGTCTAATACAAACTTTATAGGTTTAATTTCTAAATCATCAATGCCACGGGCCTTGCTATTTTTGAGTGTCATAAAAGTAGAGCAGATTTCCTCACAAGTTGTCGGCGCAAAAAATGCCGTATCTGAGTTAGGCGTTCCTAGAAATCGTTTTACTCCACTGCTATCAGTTCCAGACACCACTGAGACTAAATTCGTAAAATATTTGTTAAACGCATCTGCAAGCTCATTGCCCACTACTGTTTTATTATTTACTGTTAAGCGTAGTTCTTCATTATGGTGAGAACCACAGTTTAAAAGTTTGTGGATTTCGCGCCGCACCACCTCACTCTGAGTACTTGAGAATACATTCTCGTAATATGCCTTTTTAGCGCTACGCAAAACTTTCGTCACAAAATTTCTATATTTTTTAATTTGGAAAGATCATTCAAGTTTCTCGTTTTGACAAATTTCGAATATAAAACATCTCTTTTCTTGACCATTCTAAAGCAATCATCTGGCATCCAAGGCTTCCGTAATTTTTTAGATTTCCTTACTTCCTTTAGCTTAAAGCAAGTATAATAAACCTGCTTAATGATGGCTATGAAATGTTCATAAGCTTCCTCAGCATTTGTAGATTCAAGCACTATACTCCAGTCTATGTTTGTGATTTCACCTCGAAAAATTTCCAAAGTTTTGGCATTAATTTCTCGCATTATATACGACTCAGTATGTCGTGCCTTTCCCTTGAAAAATTCACTATCTTTAAAAGACATGTAAATTGGAAAATGATCACTTAGACATGTTATAACCCTACCCGACGTTACATCGTCATTCATGTTATTTGTCAAAAACAAGTACAGAAGGCTTTCAGAGTGACAGCTAATTCGCGTGGGCTCAGATATAACATTCCTACAGGAGAAGGATTCAATAAGTACCTAAAATTCACGTGTGGCTGCCGTATTCTGCAATAGATTTATGTTGCAGTCGCAGCCTAACGGAAATAAAAAAAAAATTTTAGATTTCCGTTAGGAGGGCGATAGATGACAGCAAATACATAGGTTTTGTATTGAAACGTCAGAGCTTCATAATCTATGTTAATTTTTGAAAAATCTGATAGCAGGCTGCATGACAATTGCTCAGACACAAACTGCAGCACACCACCACCACGTCGATCATATCTGCTTAAGAAAAAACTCTTGTATCCAGGTAGGCTTAGTACATCGCCTTCGCATGAGTACCATGTTTCGGTAATCATAATAACTTGAAACCTAAAGCGAAATTCACCAAGAAACATGGTCAGTTCATCATCCTTATTTCGTGCAGACTGTTCTTACGTACTCAGCCCGACACTGTTAGCCCGAATAAACACGACATCTGCGCCTTATTAAATTTCACTTGAAACGACTACTGGCGGGCACCAAAATTTACCGCTTAGTTTCTTTTCTCAAATCAAACTTCCTATCGCACTAGTAGTTTTGATGACAGCTAACATTTCAAAGTAAAGTAGACGAAAACAAAATACTCGGCGTTCGTTTTTACAGGCACACACGCTCGTGCTCTGCGTGCACTTCAGGCTGTTCGGAGCAGCTTTACGCTGCAAAGGAATCCTCGTGGTGTACTCGGGCGCGGAAACTCTCTTTCAGAAGCGGAGAGAACTCACCGCCAGCTCTGCGAGCACCGCCGCGCACAGAAGCCGAGAGCACTCGATGCAGCCAGAGTTTGGGGCCCCTTCGCTCCGCCGCCAAACGTCCCACCCGAGCCCAGCTCCCCCTCTCGGCGCTACGACGCGCGGCGAGAGAGCACTGCGCGCCGCCGTGCGACCGCGCGCCCGGGAGCTTCCGAATTCCCATTCACCTTTGAGCGAGGGTCGGGGGTGCGCGCTCCGCTCTGCCGTACGCTCCTCCCCAAGTGCCCAACTTTGCTCCGCTCGCATCGCCATTCGGCGCCCACTCTTTTTTTCGGAGTGGGTAGAGTCACCAAGCAGCGGGTGACACAGAGCGGCAGAATTAGCTTCTTTCAGCTTTCTTGGACACCCCGAGTCCTCTTGCGACATCTCCGACTCGTGCAAGAAACGGCACGATTCCTCCAGAATCGCCGCGCCACGCGTTCTGTTCCGCCGTCTTCCATCATCCGAAACTTTGGATTACCCCGACTTTTTCCTCAAAGACGACAGCGACGTGTGTGCGCCGTTCGTAGGAAGCTGTTTTCGTTGTCTGTCGTACCGAGTGAACCACAGCGGCGGTTCGAAGAGGAGTGTGTGAGTGCTACATCGCGGATGGCCGTGGGTGCTGTTGCACCCAGACATCCTCGGCCCGTACCGTCGCGAGCTGGTTCCCCGCGCTGCCCGGAGTCCTATGGGATGGGTTAGGCTCCAAGAAGAGCCGCCACCGGGCCTACCATGTGGCTATCGTGTCGACTGGGCTGCGTCGTCCTGCTTGCGACCACGGTGCTCTTTTCCGTCGCCATTGCCCTGGACAGCGGTGGCAACAGCACCCTACCGGGAGACGAGTGCGGTCCCGACAATGCGACGTGCGGCACGGAGCCCCTCCACGCGCCCGTGTTCCAGCCATCGTCGCTCATTCGCGTCGTAATCCTCGTGCTGATTGGAGTGCTGTCCCTTGTGGGCAACTGTGCAACGCTCGTATCCATCTGGAAGACGAGACTTAGGGCCCGCTCGACGGTTTACCTTCTTCTGGCTCACCTGTCTGTCGCAGACCTGCTGGTGACGTTCTTCTGTGTGCTCGCCGAGGCGGCCTGGACGTGGACGGTCCAGTGGACGGCTGGCGACGGTGCTTGCAAGGCGGTCAAGTTTCTGCAGATGTTCTCGCTGTACCTGTCCACCTTTATCCTTGTGGTGATCGCGTTCGACAGGTTCGCGGCCATCCGGTTTCCGATGCGCCGTGCGAGCGCACGACGCACCGTTGTCCGCATGGTGTTCGGTGTGTGGGCGCTTTCGGCGATGCTCAGCCTTCCTCAGGTATGTGCTCACTTCTCGCGCATATCTTTGTTTGCTCACTGATCTGCGTGTTTCGGTAGTAGTACCATATATTTCGAGCTAAGTCCGCTTATACAGTACATTCTTCAAGTTGAAATTTTACGTGCTGCAGACTGTGCACAGGTGCGTAGTATAGAAGTTATTCTTTTTGTTTTTACATATCTCCGATATGACGAGACGTGACAGAATATGTGAATGACAGAGTATGTTAACTACGGTTTCTGCATTATAAGAACTTCTTTTTGTACGCCAGTGAAGCCGGCGTACGTTAACGTGGAAAGTGTATCAGTCGATTTTTGGCGTGAAATTTACACGTTAATAGAAACTTTTAAAAAAGTATAAAGTTTTTTTAACAGAAATTTGATATTGCGGTTTATACGATGGTGCGAAATATAGTCAGAAGAATAAGGTAAATGTAATATTAATAACTGTATAGCATCGCAGTTATTTAGCAGCCATTTCGGTAAAGGAGATCTCCGAGCAACGTATTATATTAATACACGAACAGAACGTAGGGGCGCAACTTAGCTGTTCTACACTGAACATTTTGGAGCAACCCAAGGCTGAGGAACATGAAAGGTACCATCAAGAGAAGGATAAGGTCTCAAACGCGGCTATAATTGTATTGTCCACAAAACCCTTTAGATTAGGGTTCAGAAACTTAAAGCGGAAAGACCCTTCCCCACTCACACCACTCGCTTGAAAAAAAAAAAATGAACGACTTCGGACCCTCCACAATGGGGTCGCCTTAGAATACTGTAAGAGAGATGACACTGGGAGAACAAGGCCAGCGACGCACACCTATGACCTTGATTGAAAATGCCTCATGCGGTGTCCACACGACCTCCCAAAGATAAAAAAAAAACAGAACGTTACACAGATTACTAAAATTAGAGATTCAGGAAGCGCTTCCATTCTTCTTTGAAAGACAATGACAGCTTACAGCATTTTCAAGTTTGGTAATCGCGATTGATTCCCCCGACATGGCGCTTCTGGTCCTTTCTTTTTGTTACTATCGTTGTTTTGACTTCTATAACGGCGCATAATAATTATACTCCTCAATGCGCTTAGAAACTTCTAAATACTAGTCTTTCTTTTTGACACATCGGTTATGTTTGTTTGCCCAGCCTCTCATTAATACAATGTTTTGATTGACCTATGTAGCATAACCCACAGTCAAAAGGGATCCTGTAAACGACACAGAAAACGCCTGTGAAAGATTTCTCCTTGTGTTTCTTCGTGCAACCAATTTGAGCCGAAGCGAAAGGAGTCAAATGTTCCCAGCTAATATAGTTTTTAAATTCCATGCGTAAACCTAACTTATCACCCATTGATTTCAAGTTGTGAAAAAAGAACATGACTACAAACTTTCTGTTCGGAATTTTCGGAACTTTCTTGCCTAATGAAACAATCTATGAAAGCTGTTTGAACTGGAACTCTTGAGGGTATCTTGCACACACACAGGGACCTTCCCTATAGTGCGGAGGACGGGCAAACAGGCAAAAACATAGCCTGAACAGAGTGTTTCATATAGTGGCAACAAGTCTTTCGGACCGCGTTATTTATCACATTTCGAACTAAACTTAATCTAATATACTTCAAATGGCAATTATCAAAATTAACTATTGGTTTGGTTTCTGCACTTCCATACAGCCAACAAAGCCCCAGGATAATTTTAAGCTGAAGGTCTAGAAAGAGTTGTACGTTGTTTTCTGGCCTGTCGATAAAGCACTTGAAATCGGGAGCTTCCTTGTACACGGTGTTCTCGACACAAGCAGCCAAGCTTGATACAAGGGAACAAATTAAAATGTCATCCTGATATCTTCAGATAAGAACTGAACAATATCTACAATCTTTGATTTACTCAGACAACAGTAGGTGCAAACTTTTGAGATAGATTTTCGAAAGGCCAAGAGCTACCGACGAACCTATAGGCGCGCCTTGACATTTGATGCACGTTTCGACCATTATGATTTAATTACCACTCTAGATCTGAGATGTAATTTGAGAATCCTCAGAAAATCTGAAATCTCCATGCCCAACTGGGGCAGGAATCGAACTAAATTATCGCCCAAAAACAGACGAACCCTAGAAAGGAATCTGGCTGGTTAAAGCGCGTAATATAGGTCCTCGATGTATAAATAAAAACTTTTGCAAGGCTTCCCAAAGACGATTGAAAATCTCATATATCACTGCAAAATATTGGGGTTACAGAGCTTCTGAAATCTAGACAAGAAAGGCCATTTTGAAGGAAAGTTGACACAGTACTTATGCCGCATGCCGTCTTCGCTGTTAAAAACTCTCAAATGAAATTCAACCTTGTGGTCGTTTATGAAGAATTTTATGCAAATTTATTATTTTGGTTACTATTAAAGCTGGTAGCTAAAGATATAGAATTACTGTCCGTAAATGTATTCACAATTTTTTTTGTGACATCCCAGATTTACAATGAAAGTTCTAAACAATTCAAATACAGCGATGTAATTTTTTTGTCTTGAGAAGTGCTGAAAAGTAGAACAGCGAAAAGACCAGACTTCTCTATTTAAAGTAACTTCACCTTCTTCTCTTCCAATTCTTTCGTAACACTGTTTTTTTTTTATTTGTAATATCAGTTTTGTGAGAAAAATCTACCAATCAGGACATTCTCTTGATGGCGGTCGAAAGAAGAGTACCTTTACTGCTGGGTCTGATACGGAATTTGACAAAATGATAATTGCAAAGCAAGTATCTAAACGAGACGGCTTAACATTTGCACGAAACTTCCGACCATTGGTTAAAAAAACTTTCAGTTAACCCGGTGAGCTCAATACCTAGGAGATTGACAAGAGTGGTTTTCGTCGCGGTTATCCGTTGACATTGGCCCCGGCTGCGGGGACTTCCTCGTGCTTATTTTCTGTCTCAGTGACCGGAAGACTGTACTAAAGTCTCTCATGTTTAGCGCTTGCTACTTAATAAACGACGTTTAAACATGAAATAGTTCTGCAATCAAAGAAAGCGGTCCACAGCTGATCAGAACGTTTACTCACATTTCATAGATGGTCCCTCGTCGAGTTCCGGTAGTCGTTGACGATCAAATTCTTCCTATGCCAACCAAATTGCAAAGCTGCCAGATAGTGGAAGCGTTACTTTTTTCTTCTTGGTGACACCTTTCGCATTCTTCACTCTCGGATTGCTTCAAAGTGTTATATTAATTCATTGACGGAAACATTGGTTAACTGTGCACCTCATCCCAAGTATGATATCGCGGCATTCGAACACTAATTCATAGATCCAGACTCTTGTACAGAATGTCCCTGAAGCAACTACGAAATACATCTTCTCTTTAATCTTATCCGAATGATAAAAAAATCAGTAAACTCGTCTGAAAAAGCAGGCTAAACTAAACGTATAACAGAAGAAAAAGGAAATGCGAACTCAAATTTAGCGAAAACTGAAATTAGTAATGTCTAAAGATTTGTGCGACAATAGAAGAAACATTGAACTAGAAGAAATCTCTATCATTTTTAACGAAATATTTTGCTTTCGAATAAAAACAAAAGGTTCCTGAAAGGTTAGATATAAAATGCATTTGAGATCATCAACTTGCGTAAGATATTTGATTCTGCGTGCATTAAATTAAACCAAGTTTAGTTATCTTTAATTATTATTGTACATTCAAGAACATAACAAAATCTATTACGCCATTGGCAAGCGAGTTTCTTTTAGCAAATTTCATTGCCCATTTGAATTTATTCGCGCAATGACGGGGATAAACTCAATGATCCCTTACGCACTGAATTCAATATTCGTCTCATGACAGCCGTTTAATTAGGTTGATTCAAATATCAGGTAATCGCAAATTGGGTTTCCTTTTCTGTATTCAGATGTCACGAGCACGCGATTGCTCATTGTTTCGTTAACTGGATTTCATCCCAAGTTCGCTCATCCAAATTCGCTTGAGTGGAATTTACTGACAGCAAGGAAATTTTGCTTCAGCGTCACCACTGGTTTTGCGATATTTAAACATTTATCTAAACACATGTCCCACATAACATATACATTTTTTTTTATTATCAGGAAACATTTTATGGCCGTGAGACGATTACATGCATTTTGCAGCATTCTCTTTTTATAAAAATTAAATATTATATGAAAAGGTGTTTTGAGTTTTCTGTTTTAGTACTTAATGCACTTCGCTGGAGTGGCTGAAACACTCAAAATAGGCCCCGTCGGCTGAGCGTGTGAGGCATCAACACAGTAAAAATTACTGCAGATGTTTTTGTTGATTTTTTAAAATTTTTTTAACAGTATAAACACAGAGGCATTTCAGTGTTTGTTCTCCACGTATGGAAACGCGATTTCGGGTTATTTTCATTATATTAACATATTTGGCACAAATTTCAATAGGAGGGTACACCAAGCAAAATTTTTATAACGAATTTGTCTACAGATGATCATGAAAGCTCCAGGGTTCATCCTTCGGACGCATTTTTTTTAAGTGAACGCTGACGCGGAGCTCCTGCCCGAACGTTGCTGTGGATATGGCTCGAGGAAATATACGTAGCTTCAATACGATGGGACTGCCAGTTTGTAGTGGGGCATGAGAAATTGGGCGTCGACAAGAAAATGTCTTGCGCCAATTTAAAAAAGTTATCGAAAGACGCGGTGATACAATATATACGCGGGTGACTGTTTTAGTGGTCAGTGATGAGCTGAACACGAGACTTTTACTACTACTACTACCACTAATAATAATAATAATAATAACAATAATAATAATAATAATAATTCCTTTATAGATTTATTTCTTCATTTTACCCCTTCATGAACAGCTAAGGCCTGAATAAGGAAGCAAGAGATGTGGATCATAGACCTGTCAAGAAAAGAAGTAGATGGTATGAAGTTTGACTGAAAAGGTTGGGTTCTGTATACCCATACGCGTTTCCTGTAGAATAGCAGTGTTATCATTGTTAAAAAAACTTTTTCTGCACCCAGGCTGTTAT